ATCTCCGCTCCCCACATTCATATTTCTGGAGTTAGGTGGGAGGGAGTGATAAGTGGTGAAGAGGTCGCGCCGAGGTACCATTCCACAGGTTGCTCCAGAGTCTAGAATGAGGTGATTGGGGTCAGCCAACGTACGACCAGCAAGCGCCGTCTCCTTCTCTAAGGATAAGAAGGAGAAGCCATCATCCGATAAGTCCTCCTTTCCCTTCTTATCCTCGTTTGCCGCCGCTGCTGCCGCTTTCTCTTTGCTGCCCTTCTTGTTCCATGCTCCGTTCTTCATCCTCCTCTCCACCCACTCAGGCCTAGTGACAGGTGGAGCCTCTCCTGGGTACCCTTGAGGCTTCCACCCATCTGGTCGACTCCAGCACTCCTTCCAAGAGTGCTTCCGGTTGCATCCAGGGACAAGGCACTTGTCGAGCTCCTTCTTCTTCCCCCCACCTCCGTGCCGCTGCTGGTATTTCTTAGAGGGAACCCTATCACCTGCCCCCATTCCCCCTTCAACTCCTCTACCAGCATCACGCTTGCGAGCCTCATCAGAAACCAACACCTCCCATATCCAGGCCTTGGTCCATTTCTGCTGCTCCAGGTGAAGGTATTGTAGTAGAGCCTCGTTTGCTTCTTGGTCCAGCCCCTGGAGTGCAGTGTAGATGATCTCCTTCTCATCTACTTCATAGTTCAGCTCCTCCAATGCCCTCACATACTCATCCACCCTCTGGAGGTACTGCACCATGGTCTCCCCATCGCCATAGTTGCGTTCCATGGTGTAGAACCGCTTCCTCCAGGTGAGTATGCTTAACAACCCTTTTTGCAAATGTCGATCTTGAACTCTCTTCCATGCTAGTGCAGCTGCTCCTTGCTTGCCCTTCAGGTCAATCAGCATCTTTAGGAGCTCTAGTTGGCCTTCCAAGGCACAACACAGGTACTGGAACGCTTGCTTGTCCTTGTGGTCCCATGCTTCTTGTGCCTTAAGAAGCTCCTCTGTACTAAGCCGTTGCCTTCCGGTTCGCGGTGCTACTGGTCCACCTCCACTTCCCTCAGTTATGGATGAGCTAGAGGCTCCCCCAACCCTTTCTCCCACTTGGCTAGAGACTCTAGTAGATGCCTTTCCTTCATCAGCTTCAGGTCGTCGCTCCGATCCCTCCAAAACGCCTTCTAGGTCTTTGATACCTAGCCAAAGCGTAAAATGGAACCGCCATAGCGAAAAATCCGAGCCGGTCAACCTAGAAGGGCCATCTAATTTCTGGGCCATAACCAAACCTAGATCTGGAGATTCTTAAGCCAATTCGTAATATGATAATAGGAGGGAATGTCGCAGGCCTAACCAGCTCTGATACCACTGATGTAAAGTGCGTGAATCTGGAGAGCGTACAAGAGATTAAGTCCGCCGACTTCGACGGAACCTTAAACTATGAGCAGGTACGCGTTGGAACGGTCTTAATCTCTACTTTCCAGAATAGTAACGCACGCTTTCAACCAAGATCTAGGCCGATCGCTATCGCGATTTCAGTGCGACGGTGTATTCTGGCGGAATTAGTAGGCAGCCATGGATTAGACCAAAAGACTAGCTTTAGCAAGAGTTCAGATCTGAAAAGTGACAGTTGTTCAAACCCTACCAACCCAACCCTCGCCCTACAACAATCCCCAACAACCCAAAGTGCTGAACTAACAACACCAAAGGTGTTGTAGTGAATAGCAAAGGTTTGTTGGTGCTTGTTGGGTGCGAGATCAATACCAGCCTGCAACAAGTCTAATTACCACATTTTGCCCAAACCCTTAGCCCACAACCAGCTAGAGCAAAATACCACAACCACCTACACAATCAACAGGTGCGGTCCGAGAAGAGATTGTAGGCTCTGAATACCAAGTGTTATGAACACAATTGAGTGAGCGAGCGAGAATTGCACTATCGAAGCAAGAGTACAATGAGCGAAGGCATGAGCGAAGAATATGTCAGATTTATATGACATAGCTATTGTAGGCTATAGTGGGGTAGCACATATGGGGTACAGCTTTCTAGGGTTTGTATTTGTACCCAACTTTCACTTAGTCATTCCATTTTCTCGTTTCAGTTTCTCATGGTATCGAGCAGGTTCCCTCGTGGGAACTGTTCCTAGGGCCCACCAAGTCGATTTTTTTTTCCCTGCGCGGAGCGCGCTCAGCCCGAGTCGCGCTCCCCTCTCTGATCCTGTCGAGCCGCCCTAGCGGCTGCGTCGCGCCGCCCTCGCGGCTCCGATCCGTCGCCCTAGCGGCCCCGTCGCCCTAGCGGCCCCGTCGCCCTCGCGGCCCCGTTGCCCTAGCGGCCCCGTCGCCTACCTACGGCCCTACGGCCCCGACGCATACCTGCGGCCCTGTAGCCCCGTCGCCTACCTGCGGCCCTGCGGCCCCGTCGCCTACCTGCGGCCCTACGGCCCCATCGCCTACCTGCGGCCCCGGCCCCGTCGCCTTCCTGCGGCCCCGGTCCCGTCGCCTTCCTGCGGCCCTGGCCCTATCGCCTACCTGCGGCTCCGTCCCCTACCTACGGCCCCGTCCCCTACCTACGGCCCTGTCGCCTCACTACGGCCCCGGCCCCGTCGCCTACCTGCGGCCCCGGCCCCGTCGCCCACCTGCGGCCCCCGCCTCGTCACCTAACTGCGGCCCTGGCCCCGTCGCCTACTTGCGGCCCCAGCCCCGTCGCCTACCCGTACCGCTCGAGCCGCCGAGTCGCCCGAGCCGCCGCGTCGCCCAAGCCGCCGAGTCGCCTGAACCGCCCGAGCTGCACGAGTCGCCCGAGCCGCCTGAGCCGCCGAGTCGCAGTTGCCGCCTGAGCCGCCAAGTCGCCGAGCCGCCCGAGCCGCCGAGCCGCCCGAGCCGCCCCTGTCTAGTAAGAGCAGCGCCTCTACCACTGCACTGCCCTTACCCCTCTGTTCGCGCTCCTAGCCTACTGCAGTCATGGCCACCCCTAGTGTCCTCGCTTTTGACACTGAGGGTCGGGCCGTTGACTTTGACGTCTGGATAGATGACCTGCAGCTTTTCCTATAGTGCGATAGGGCGGACGGTCTCTCCCTCTTTGACCTCACCTCTAGTGCCTCTCCTCCCCCTGTTGCTGATGCTGACGCCACTGTTCGCTCCCAGTGGGCCACACGCGATGCTGCTGCACGTCTTGCTGTGCGTCGCCACCTACCTACCAGTGAGCGTGCGCACTTTAGTCAGTACAAGAGTGCTCAGACCTTGTACGACGCTGTAGTTGCACGCTACTCCTCCCCTGCCACTGCTGCACTGAGCCGCATCTGTCAGAATATTATAGCTTATACATTTGTGTAGGCTGTAGTGGGGTAGCCCATAAGGGGTACAACCCAATTAGGGTTAGTACTTGTACCCAACTGTTTCATAGTTCATTCATCCATTCTCACTTCTCGTCATGGTATCGAGCAGGTTCCCAAATGGGAATTCTGCCTAGGGCCCACCACGTATTTTTTTTTCCTTCCCTGCCCGGAGCGCGCTTAGCTCCTAACCCGAGTAGCGCCCCGAGTCGCCTGAGTGGTCCCTTTTGGCCGCCCTTACTGCTCCTCGAGCCGCCCACTACGGCCCCGCTACGGCCCCGTCGGCCCCGTTACAGCCCCGCTTCGTCCCCGCTACGGCCCCGTCGGCCCCGCTTAGGCCCCGCTACGGCCTCGCTACGGCCTCGTTGGCCCCGCTTAGGCCCCGTTGGCCCCACTACGGCCCCGTCGGCCCTGCTTAGGCCTCGCTACGGCCCCGCTACGGCCCCGCTACGGCCCCGTCCGCCCGGCTTAGGCCCCGTCGACCCCGCTACAGCCCCACTTAGGCCCCGCTACGGCCCCGTCTGCCCCATTTAGGCCCTGTCGGCCTCACTACGGCCCCATCGGCCCCACTTAGGCCCCGTCGGCCCCACTACGGCCCCGTGAGCCCCGTCGGCCCCACTTAGGCCCCGTCGGCCCCGCTACGGCCCCGCTAAGGCCCCGTCAGCCCCACTTCGGCCCCGCTGCGGCCCCACTACGGCCCCGCTAAGGCCCCTTCGGCCCCGTCGGCCCCGCTACGACCCCACTTCGGCCCCGTCGCCCACTTCGGCCCCGTCGCCCACTTCGGCCCCGTCGGCCCCGTCGGCCCCTCTTAGGCCCCGCTGCGGCCCCGTCGCCCACTTTGGCCCCGTTGCCAATGCGGCCCCGCCCACCCTTGCGGCCCGCCGCCACCTATGACCTCGCCACCACCTGCAACCCCACCTCCCAGCGCCCGCAGCGCCGAGCAGCCAAACCGCCGGCCAGCTGAGCCGCCCGAGCCACCCAGCAACCGAGCCATCCGGCAGCCGAGCCACCCAGCAGCCGAGCCGCCCTGCAGCCGAGCCGCCCAGCAGCCGAGCCGCCCAGCAGCCGAGCCGCCCTGCAACCGAGCCGCCCAGCAACCGAGCCGCCCAGCGGCCGAGCCGCCCTGCAGCCGAGCCGCCCGACAGCCGAGCCGCCGAGCAGCCCGATCGCTCCACCTACCTAGTAAGAGCACAGTCTCTGCCACTGCACTGCCCTACATACTGCTGTTATGGCTTCCCCTAGCGTTCTCACCTTTGAGGCTGAGGGTCGGGCAGTGGACATTGAGGTCTGGGTAGATGATTTGCAGCTTTTCCTGCAGTGCGATAGGGCAGACGGCCTCTCCCTGTTTGACCTCACTTCTGGTGCCTCCCCTGCCCCTACTTCTGATGCTTACACCACAATTCGTTTAGTGGGACACAAGAGATGCTGCTGCTTGCCTTGCTGTGCGCCGCCACTTACCGACCACTGAGCGTGCACAGTTTAGCCAGTATAAGAGTGCTCAGACCTTGTACGACGCTGTAGTTGCACGCTACTCTTCCCCTGCCACTGCTGCACTGAGCCGCCTCATGCTACCGTACCTCTTCCCTGACCTTGCTGCCTTTCCCACTGTCGCTGACCTCATTACGCACCTCCGCACTAGTGACACTCGCTACCGCGCTGCGCTTCCTGCTGAGTTCTGCGCCAAGAACCCCCCCAACCCCCCATGTACATCACCCTCTACTACATAGTCACCCGGCTCCCTGACTCTCTTCGGGTAGTCATTGACCACTTCCTCTCTATTTGCCCCACCACTCTCACCGTTGACCTCCTCGAGAAGGCCCTCCTAGCGATAGAGAAGAGCATAGTCGCTGTAGGAGCCTCTCGTGGTGACCCTCGCACCCCCATCTTTGAGGGGTGTTCTCCCTCCCCCCTCTTGCCCTCTGTCGCCTCTGGTGCTGCGGCCGACCTCGTTGGTTTCGAGTCGGTCGGAGCTGCGTCTGCCCCGAGCGGGAGACGCCGCACCGGCAAGGGCAAGGGGGGCAAGGGCACTGGAGGGGGTGGAGGGGGCGGTGGAGGTGGTGGTGGAGGCGGTGGAGGGAGTGGGAGTGGTGGTGGGGGTGGTGGTGGGGGTGGTGGCGGCGACGGCAGCAGTGGAGGCGGCGGAGGCGGTGGAGGTGGCGGAGGGAGCGGAGGCGGCGGAGGTAGTGGAGGAGGCGGAGGTGGAGGAGGCGGCGGAGGCGGCGGAGGCGGCGGAGGCGGCGGAGGCGGCGGTGGTGGGGCGAGTCGCGACTCTGCGCCGAGGAGTGGCGCCGGTGGTGGTCAGCGCTAGCAGCAGCAGCGGAGCGGTGTGACCATGTCCCCTCAGCACCTTCGTGAGTGGTACACTGCACGCCAGCGCGGTGGGGGTTTTGGTCCCTGCTCTTACATTCTCGGTACCGGCGACCGCACTGGTGAGCAGTGCGGAGGTCCGCACTCCACTCAGCGCTGCTTTGGTCGCCTGACGAACGCGTGGCGTCGCCAGTTCCCTGAGGCGTCAGAGATCCCTCGGTGGGGAGATCTGGCTAAGGCCGGGGTTGCTAACTTTGATCTTGAATTTGATGCTATTCTTGCTGCCATGTATGCTGTTGCTGATAGTGTTGAGGGTGCCTGTTACCTGTGTGTACCGCATGACCCGGGCATTGAGGCTGCTGCGCTAGGTGTTGGTGAGGCTGCTGCTTTAGGTGCTAGTGCGTCTGCTGCCCCAGGTACTGGTGTGTCTGCTCTCTCAGGTACTACGTCCGCTCAGGCCTTCCACACCTTCACCCTGGACTCGGGTGCGTCCCGCTCCTTCTTTCGAGACCGCACCACTCTTACGCCACTTAGTCGGCCGGTTGCGGTCTCCCTGGCAGACCCCTCTGGGGGTCCTGTCCTTGCTAGCTTCTCCACTGTCCTTCTGTGCCCTGCAGCCCCCTCTGGCACCCTGTCTGGTCTATACCTCCCATCGTTCTCTACGAACTTGGTGAGTGGAGCGGACCTACAGGATCGAGGGGTTGACCAGTTCACTCCTGCGAGTCAGCGAGTGACCCACTGCACGTGTGCTCGGAAAGGCCAACACTTGGCCACGTTCACTCATCGGCCAGGGTCGAGCCTGTACACCCTTACTGCTGAGTCTCCTCCTACTACTGAGTCTGCCCAGGTAGCTGCGTCGAGTCATGTGTTTGCTGCAGCGTCCAGGTCTGGTCCTGAGTCTGCCCCCTGCTCGTGTCGTCTACTGTCCCACCAGACTCTCCTTTGGCACCACCGCCTTGGTCACCCCTCCTTGCCTCGTCTCCGAGGCATGGGCTCCCGTGTCCTTGTCTCTGGTCTTCCTCGGTCTCTCCCTCCCCTTCCTCCGGGGCCTGGCCCTACCTGCGTCCCCTGCGTCGAGGGGCGACAGCGCGCCGCCCCTCACTCCTCCGAGTTTCCTCCGACAGAGGCTCCGCTGCAGACTCTCCACATGGACGTGTGGGGCCCAACCCCTCTGCCTGTCTTTCAGCCTTCTGTCGTCCACAGGGCATCCGCCAGACCTTCACGCTTCCGGCCTCTCCACAGCAAAATGGGATTGCTGAGCGCCGCATTGGCATGGTCAGGGACGTCGCTCGTATGTCCATGATGCATGCGGCTGCCCCCCATTTTCTGTGGCCGTTTGCGGTTCAGTACGCCGCACATCAGCTCAACCTTCAGCCCCGAGTCTCCTTGCCAAAGACCTCCCCCGCATTGCGGTGGACAGGGAAGGTTCGCGATGCGTCTGCGTTTCGTGTCTGGGGATCTCGGGCGTTTGTCCGCGACTTGTCTACGGACAAGATGTCCCCCCATGCTGTTCCTTGCGTCTTCCTTGGCTTCCCCCCCGACGCGCCTGGCTGACGGTTTTACCACCCCACCACGCGTCGTGTTCTGTCCTCCCAGGACGTCACCTTTGACGAGTCGGTGCCTTATTACCGTCTCTTCCCCTACCGCACTGCGCCCCTCCCCCCGCCGCCGCTTTTCCTTGCGCCAGGTGCTACCCACGTAGACCCCCTCCCTCCTCAGGGTCCTGCCCCTTCAGTTGTGTCCCAAGTAGACACAGTCGAGCCTGTTGAGGTAGTTGTTGACTCTGGTGCTGCTAGAGGTGCTGAGCCTGCGGGTGCCGGGTCTGCGGGTGCCGGGTCTGGGGGTGTTGAATCTGGGGGTGCTGAGACTGGGGGTGCTGAGTCTTGGGATGCTGAGTCTGGGGGTGCTGAGCCTGGGGGTGCGGAGCCTGGGGGTGCTGAGTCTGCTCGTGTGGCCGCCGGCGGTGCTTCGTCTGCTCTAGTTGCTGAGTTTGTCGACTTCGCTTCTTGCAGTCGTCTAGACTACGCTGCTAGTCTTGTTGCTGAGTCTGAGTCTGTCTGTCCTCCGTCCGTCGGGGGTGAGTGTGCACTTAGCACGGACTTCCTTGAGGACAGGCAGAAGGAGTTCCAGTGCTTTGCGGCTGCTTTGCCCTATCTCGTGTCCACGTTGATTGCCTGTGAGGGAGACCCGGATGCACCAGACATCTCGACTCCTCGATCGTACGCTGAGGCGATCGAGGGTCCCTACTCCTCTCAGTGGCAGTCGGACATGGACGCAGAGCTGGCTTCCTGGAAGTCCACAGGCACCTACGTGGACGACTTTCCCCCACCTCGGGCGAACATCGTCACTGGGATGTGGATTTTCAGGGTGAAGAGGCCGCCTGGCTCTCCGCCTGTATTCAGGGCGCGTTACGTGGCTCGAGGCTTCAGTCAGCGGCAGGAACTTGACTACTTTCAGACCTTCTCTCCCACCCCGAAGATGACCACACTTTGGGTGCTGCTGCACATAGCCGCTCAGCGCGACTACGAGCTTCACTCTCTTCACTTCAGCACAGTTTTCCGGCCGGGCAGCCTGCACGAGGAGATCTGGCTGCGCCGCCCTCCTGGCTTCACTAGGTCGTTCCCTTCTGGTACCCAGTGGAGCCTCCGGCGGCAAGTCTACGGTCTCCGCCAGGCGCCCCGTGAGTGGCACAACACACTGAGGACTAAACTTGCGGCTCTTGGGTTTGCTCCATCTACAGCCGACCCGTCTCTGTTTCTACGCACTGACACCTCTTTGCCGCAGTTCTACATCCTCGTGTACGTCGACGACTTGGTCTTTGCCACTGCTGACACTGCTGGACTTGCCCATGTGAAGTCCGAGCTGCAGAAGAGACACACGTGCACAGACCTGGGTGAACTGCGCAGCTACCTTGGCTTGCAGATCACCCGGGATAGAGCACAGCGCACCATTACCCTGACTCAGTCACACATGGTGCAGCAGGTCCTTCAGCGCTTCGGCTTCACGTACTCCTCGCCTCGGGCCACTCCTCTGTCTACTCGCTCTCAGCTCTGCCTTCGGATAAGTCCGTAGAGCCGAGTGGCCCGTACCCAGAGCTTGTTCGCTGCCTCATGTACCTGATGACCTGCACACGACCTGACCTTGCATACCCTCTTAGCATCTTGGCACGCTATGTTGCTCCTGGGAGACACCGACCAGAGCACATGGCTGCAGCGAAGAGGGTGTTGCGCTACGTGTGCAGTACGTCGGGCATGGGGCTCGTGCTTGGAGGGTGTCGTCGAGTAGTCCTCACAGGTCACGCTGACACTTCTTGGGCTGACGACCAGGCTACGCAGCGGTTGTCACACGGTTACACCTTCAGCCTTGGCTCCGGCTCTGTTTCGTGGCGGTCTACCCGCTCGTCCTCTGTTCTCGGCTCCAGCTGTGAGGCTGAGATCTACGCAGGGGCCATGGCTGCACAGGAGCTACGCTGGCTCACCTACCTTTTGACTAACCTAGGAGAGGCGCCTCGTTCTCCTCCAGTTCTATACGTAGACAACAAGGCCATGCTGGCCTTGTGTCGGGAGCACAGACTGGAGCACAGAACGACGCACATTGCTCTCCGCTACTTCCTGTCTCGTGAGCTGCAATAGCGTGGTCAACCCCTCCTCACCTACGTGGCCTCTGAGGCCAATAATGCTGATATCTTCACCAAGGCCCTTCCGCCTTGTGATCATCAGCGTTTCTGTACTGTGCTAGGTCTTGTGCGTACCTGGCCTCTCTTGCTCACTTCTTGATCTTGTTTGTACTGTCCTCCTTCTATACCTGCACTTGCTTGCTTACCTTTATATATGTGTTCTTGCATGTGAACCGCCCTTATGGCCCTACTCTTGTGCTCGGACAGTGTGGTGACTTTGTGATCCACCCCGAGCTTGCTTTGCTTTGCTTGACTGGTCTTGTGGCCACTTGTTCTCCCCCACTTTGCCTATGGGGGTGTGCCAGAACATTATAGCTGATACATTTGTGTAGGCTGTAGTGGGGTAGCCCATAAGGGGTACAACCCAATTAGGGTTAGTACTTGTACCCAACTGTTTCATAGTTCATTCATCCATTCTCACTTCTCGACAGCCTCATACTACCGTACCTCTTCCCTGACCTTGCTGCCTTTCCCACAGTCGCTGACCTCATTACGCACCTCCGCACTACTGACACCCGCTACCGCGCTGCGCTTCTTACTGAGTTCTGCACCAAGAACCCCCCCCCCCCCATGTACATCACCCTCTACTACGTAGTCACCCGGCTCCCTGACTCTCTTCGCGTAGTCAGGGACCACTTTCTCTCAGTTTGCCCCACCACACTCACCATTGACCTCCTCGAGAAGGCCCTCCTGGCTGCAGAGAAGAGCATAGTCGCTGTAGGAGCCTCTCGTGGTGACCCTCGCACCCCCATCTTTGAGGGGTGTTCCCCCTCACACCTTCTGCCCTCTGTCGCCTGTGCTGCTGCGGCCGACCTCGTTGGTCTTGAGTCGGTCGGTGCGGCGTCTGCCCCTAGCGGGAGACGCCGCTCGGGCAAGGGCAAGGGGGGCAAGGGCGATGGAGAAGCTAGCGAGGGCGGTGGAGGCGGCGGTGGAGGCGGCGGAGGGAGTGGGGGTGGCGGTGGGAGTGGTGGCGGGAGTGGAGGTGTCGTTGGCGGCAGTGGAGGCGGAGGCGGCGGAGGCGGTGGCGGCGGTGGAGGCGGTGGAGGAGGCGGTGGCGGGGGAGGTGGAGCTGGTCGAGGTGGCGCTACGCAGCGGGGCGGCTCCGGTGGTGGTCCGCGCCAGCAGCAGCAGCAGCAGCAGCAGCAGCAGCAGCGCACTCGGGACACCCCCCCCCCCTCAACAGCTCCGTGAGTGGTACGCTGCACGTCAGCGGGGTGGGGGTACTGGTCCGTGCACCTACGTCCTACGCACCAGCGACCGCGCGGGTGAGCAGTGCGGGGGTGCGCACCCCACACAGCGCTGCTTTGGCCGCATGACGGACGCTTACCGTCACCAATTCCCAGAGGCCACTGAGATCCCCCGTTGGGGTGAGCTGTCTAGGGCGGGAGTAGCTATCTTTCACCTTGACTTTGGTGCTATTCTTCCTGCCATGTATGCTGTGACTATTAGTTATGAGGGTGACTGTTACCGGTGTTTCCTGCCCGACCCCGGCATTGAGACTGCTGCTGTAGGTGCCAGTGAGTCTGCTCCCTCAGGTGCTGGTGAGTCTGCACTCTCAGGTACCACGTCGGCTTCGCCCTCCCTCACTTTCACCCTTGACTCTGGGGCTTCTCGCTCCTTCTTTCGAGACCGCACCACACTCACGCCGCTTGGTTGGCCAGTTGCAGTCTCTCTGGCCGACCCCTCTAGGGGTCCTGTCCTTTCTCACTTCTCCACTGTCGTTCCGTGTCCAGCGGCCCCCTCTAGCACCTTGTCGGGTCTTTACCTCCCTCCGTTCTCTACGAACTTGGTGAGTGGTGCTGGCCTACAGGATGCGGGGGTTCACCAGTTCACTCCTGCGAGTCAGTGGGTGACCCACTGCACGAACGCTCGCACAGGCCGACACCTGGCCACGTTTGCACGTCGGCCGGGGTCGAGCCTGTACAAACTGACCACTAAGTCTACTCCTGTCTCTACGTCGGGTCAGGTATTTGCTGCAGCGTCCAGGTCTGGACCTAAGTCTGCCCCCTACTCGTGTCGTCTCCTGTCTCACAAGACTCTCCTGTGGCACCACCGCCTTGGTCACCCCTCCTTGCTTCGTCTCCGAGGCATGGCCTCCCGTGTCCTTGTCTTTGGTCTTCCCTGGTCCCTCCCTCCCCTTCCTCCGGGGCCTGGCCCTACCTGCATCCCCTGTGTTGAGGGGCGGCAGCGGGCTGCCCCTCACTCCTCCCAGTTTCCTCCGACAGAGGCCCCGCTGCAGACGCTTCACTTGGACGTGTGGGGCCCGGCCCGCGTCCGTGGACAGGGTCACGGGTGCTACTTCGTGCTGGTGGTTGACGACTGCTCGTGTTACACCACAATCTTCCCCTTGCGCAGCAAGGGTGTTGTCACTGAGGTGTTGATCGACTGGATCCGCGCAGCTCATCTCCAGCTCAGGCAGAGCTTCGGCTCGGAATTTTTTGTTCTACGTCTGCACTCTGACCGAGGCAGAGAGTTCTCCTCTGGCCTTCTTTGAGCCTACTGTCGTGCACAAGGCATCCGCTAGACCTTTACACTTCCGGAATCTCCATAGCAAAATGGGATTTCTGAGCGCCGCATTGGCATGGTCATGGACGTCGCACGTACGTCCATGATGCATGCGGCTGCCCCCCATTTTCTGTGGCCGTTTGCGGTTCGGTACGCGGCGCATCAGATCAACCTTCACCTCAGAGTCTCCATGCCGGAGACCTCTCCAGCTTTGCTGTGGACGGGAAAGGTTGGCGATGCGTCTGTGTTCCGTGTCTAGGGATCTCGGGCGTTTGTCCGCGACTTGTCTGCGGACAAGCTGTCACTTCGTGCTGCTCCTTGCGTCTTCCTTGGCTTTCCCACTGACGAGCTAGGGTGGCAGTTCTACCACCCCACCTCTCGCCGTGTTCTGTCATCCTAGGACATCTTGTTTGACGAGTCGGTCCCCTACTACCGCTTCTTCCCCTAGCACACTACGTCCCTCCCCCCGCCACCGCTCTTCCTTGTGCCAGGTCCCCCTCCGGTAGACCCCCTCCCCCTTC